TGGTTAAGGGGACACACGTGCATGCGGGACACACGTGTGCCTGACTCCTCTCCTTCCTGCTGCTGATTCCTGAGTGTTTTCTTTAAAACCTCATTAGCAAACATATTTCTTGAATGGTTCACCCATAGCCCTGAAATTTATTATAGTTGGTATTATGGAGGGATGATTGCTGGATGCCCATGTCATAGCCAACCCCTCTTTTTTAGCAGTTACGGATTGACCTTGATACTGAGTATTGAGACTATTGGCAAGAAAATGAGCTGGAGATAGTGCCTGATCCATTTGCTTTTTAATGCCTGTAATTTAACTCTGCCATTGTGTATTCTCTTTTCAAATTCTCGATCAGTTCCTTCCAAATTTCAACAGCATCAGCAATAAAACAGTAATTTCCTTGCACGTTGTTCAAGGCTACAGAAGTAGGCTTCAGGATGGTCAGCATATGTTCTGTTTCTCTTTAGCCGAGTGTTAAGAACTTTGGCTATGACAGTTTGTCACGGTGGGTGTCTACAAGCTCTGTCCGTGAGCCACTCACATTATTGGCAGACCCCCTGCCTAGGGCAGTCCTTTCTGCCTTGCCTGCCACACTTTTGATGTTACCATAATGGTTGTTAAATGTGGGAGGCTGCCTTAACTGTGGCCCTGCTGTACTGGGACAAATACACAGCTCCAAGCCATCCCTGTACTGTGGCCTGTGCCACGCAGATAACATCCAAGTCACCCATAACTCTCCTGGCCCCTTTGCTGAGCCGAATTTGGCCTGTGGCCCATATTTAGCCTCAGGCTCCACTGTGTGGGCCTTGGTCTCCTAGCCCCTTCTGCAGGCCTCTACTCCACCCCTCACTGGGCTCCTGGGCCTTACGCCCCTTGGGCCTCAGGCCTCGCTCAGTGGCCCTTGGCCCCTGTCTCAGTCCCCGCGCTATGGGCCTGAGCCCTATGCTTTACTGTCAGGGTGTACTCCTCCCCTAGCCTTTCCCTTCCACAGGGTATCCACAAGGCAGCAAGGCCTGAAGCTTTACGGTGCCCCATCATTGTCTTTCACTGGGGAGGCACTTCTGTCCCCATAGTTCCTGCCCTGAACTCTAGCTATTCTGGGAGCTGCTCTTCTCAGGCTGTGTGATATTGTTCCACTGACTCCTTAGACATAACTGCTGGCTCTGCTCCTAGGGCTTGGGCTTATCCTGGCTGCCCAGCCCTCATCCAGTCAGGTGGCCCCTTGCAGTCATGTGACCAGCTAATTGGACCTGACTGCACCTGTGGCTGCTCCACAGCCTGGCTAAACCTCTTAAAGTGGCAGGCACAATTTCTTGTCTGCCACACAGTTCCACCTATTTTGTCACAATTTTGTTCACAAATTGTCATCAGATTAGACCAGTTCTCAATATATCACTCAAAACAGTCCACTATTGAGTTCTAGCACGTCTTGTGAGAGAGTTAATTTGGTTCCAGCAGCAGAACAGCTGCTGCAAAGTGGTTGTTACAGAAGTATTTTGCAATTTCAACAACACTAGTCTTTATTTCTGGAGCACTGAAGTCTTTGGGTAAGAGGTGCATTAAATAAGTCCTGCAGCCATATGTTATTAGTTTGGGGCTTTTTTCACTTCTAGATTTCTTCTCATCTTTGATACATTTTCAGCATTGTCTGTGACAGCTGTGTTCTAGACATTTGTCAAAACTGTTCCTCTGTTTTGACGTTTCGCCCATATGCTATAATGGGGAATCATGAAAATGCCTATAATTTTGTCATTTCTTGCTTGATTTGGATGAAAATTGCAGGGATGGTAGCCCTTTATGAGGGTATGACGTCTGCCAAGTTTCAAGAAGATGGGTGCAGGGGTTTCTGGGAAACTGTACCTCCAACTGCCAAAAGCAAAACTCGTGTCACTTGCCGGTTGCGGCAGCCTCCTGTCATCCCGCACACAGATCTGGGGGTCCGTGCCACTGGGAGGGCTATGGGGCTGTGCTAAACTCCTCCTGGGAGTGCGGACCTGTGGATCTGTGTGGGGGATGACAGGCGGCTGCCGCCTGGGACCGGTACTGGATGCAGCCCGTGCCCAGCACTAGGAAGACTAGTGCTGTCATTGGCCCCGGGCAGCAGCATCAGCCTCCTGTCATCCTGCGCACAGATCTGGGGGCCCACCCCTCCCCGGGAGGAGTCCAGCAGCCTTGGGAGGGCAGGTTGAACTCTGTGGGACTGGTGGGGCCACATGGAGTGCAGCCCTGGCTCTCCCCACTGCCAGGCTGCACTCCAAGTGGCTTTGCCAGCTCCGTGGAGCTCAGCCTGGTGGCAGGAGGTGGCAGGAGAGCCAGTGGTGGAGCCGCTTTGAGCTCAGCCCTGGCGGGAACAGCCCAGTGGTGGGAGGCTTCACAGGCCCACAGCTGAGCCTTGTGGTGGGAGGTGGGGGAGAGCCACTGGCCAGGGCTGTGATCCGAGCAGCTCTGCCACTTGCTCTCTGCTGCCTCCCTCCACCAGGCTCAGCTCCGTGGGGTTGCGGAGCCTCCAGCCACCGGGCTGTGCTTGCCAGGGTTGCGCTTCAAGCGGCTCCACTACTGGCTCACCCACCGCCAGGCTGAGCTCCATGGGGCTGGCAGAGCCACATGAAGCACAACCCTGGCTCCAAGCACAGCCTGGCAGCTGGAGGCTCCGCAGCCCCATGGAGCTGAGCCTGGTGGCAGGAGGCGGCAGAGAGCAAGTGATAGAGCTGCTCGGACTGCAGCCCTGTCCAGTGGCTCTCCCCCGCCTCCTGCCGCCAGGCTCAGCTCTGTGACGCTGGCGGAGCTGCTTGGACTGCAGCCTGGCGGCAGGAGGCGGGGGAGAGCCAGGGCTGCACTCCAAGTGGCTCTGCCAGCCCCACAGAGCTCAACTCAGTGGCGGGAGGCGGTGGGAGAGCCAGTAGGGAAGCTGCTCTGAGCGCAGCACTGGCTCCGAGTACAGCCCTAGCCAGTGGCTTTCCCCCACCTCTCACTACCAGGCTCAGCTCTGTTGGGCTGCGGAGCCTCCAGCCGCCGGGCTGTCCTTACCAGGGCTAAACTCAAAACAGCTACAGGGACGTCAAAACAGTTTTGAAACGAAATACTTGTTGAAATTTCGCACAGCCCTAACAAGCACATATTACTTGATCATTGTGGACCTTGCTCCTCCCATGAAGACTCAGCTTAACAATTTTCCCCTCTAGACCTTTTGCACACTGTTCAATTTCTTTCTCGTACACTTTATCCAGCAATTTGTCTGCTATATCTGCTCTGTTGGGTGGACTGTATCCTTGTCATAATGACTGAACCATGCCAATGAAGTGTGTGTTCTCAACCATATGGAAAGGAGAGTTTGTTGCATAAACAAATTGAGCCGTTTTTCATTAATTACCTCTTGCTCTAGTCTGCTGGTTCTTATTTCAAATTTATCTATGGTTCTCTCTGGAGGATGATGGTGCTTTTTTATTTTTATTTTTGCTACAAGTGATATACTATATGACCTAGGCAGACAAGGTTCTATGTCCTTAGACCAACACGGCTACAACCTAAACCCCTGATACTATGTGGCATACATTTGACTGGAACAGTGGTATCATTAGCAGATACTTCTGAAACTATAGACAGCGATGATAATGTTCAAAATGGATAGTCAGCATCCTGTATGTTGAGGATGGATCCTCCTTAACAGAAGTCAATGCAGTCACTACAGCACTGCTCATTTAGTATTACACATTGCACTCAGTACTGCTATAGAAGTGAAACTGTAAAAGGAAGATCTGCCTATTTCTGCTGTTTCTTGATATCACAACTGCATTAAAAATATGATAGTTCCATGTAATTACAACTATACTTTTGCTCAAACATTTTTTATGAGAATAAGTAATCCAGAAGTCCACCCAGAAGATATGGACTAATCTATAGAGGTGCCTCTGTGAACCCTAGATTGGGCCCCTAATATAGTCCATGGCCTGTTGTGACCTATTTATAAAACTTTTCTGAAAAGGTTTTGTTGAATATATTGTCTCAAATAGTATATAATTAAACGTTATAATCTCTATTCCATGATGATATCTTTGATCTTTAACACATCTTAAATTAAAACTATATAGTAGCTTAATTTTTTTAAAAAAGAAAGCATTTAAAAAAATAAAAACTATGATTAAATAAATATTAATTTAAATTAAAATCCACTTTTTAAATTAAAAAAACTGTTGTTTTTTATCCAACCTGGTATATGAAAATTTGCTGTGGACAGCTTTAATAAGAAGGGAGTGGGCTGGGAGAGGGGGACACTAAACCTGGAGCCAGTTCTGTAGACTCTGGTGATTCTTAGGCTTCCCTTTTTGTTCCCATACTTTTTTTTTTCAGTATCCCTCCTCTTCCTACAAGACTTCCATCCATATACCTCAGTAAAACCTGAGTATAGTGTTCTGCCAGAGTGGAAATGAAATTACTATGGTAGAATAACTGCCAATGAGATAAGGATGCTGGAGGTTTTAACATGGATAGTAATTGAAATGTTAAATAGGAACACTTTTCCTTTGCTCTTTCTTCGAGTTGTCTGACTAAAATATGCAGACCCTTTTAAGTCAGGCACATAAAACTCTTTCACCTATGCATGCTTTTAGCTGGTTGTTTAGATTAGTTTGACAAAATTCTTGATTTGAAGTACATGCAATTTTTGGATAAATGTCCCTACTTTTAATCCTTGCAGTCAGTTCTAGCAAGTAGATTGCAATCTTCACAAATTCTGTTCCGTTATATATTCTGAATTATTTAGACCATCAAATGTGTTTTTCTGTAGTCTGATCCTGATTTAAATAAAATGCGTAGGTATTTCTGGCTAAACCATACAGATAAATAGTTTGTTTACAAAACCAAATGTAGAGTTTTGTCAGCTTGACAATTTTTAAATAAAAACCTGGACTTAACTTGCAATGAAAATGCTGCAGTAGAACGATTACTTCATTTTTCCATGTTGTATATTTAAGATTTTTACTGATGGCATTTTCCTACCTCCCCCACTTTAGGGTGACTTAACAGCTGTTGAACTTCTACTGAAAAATGGGGCAGACCCTAATGTTAAAGACCATGCTGGATGGACACCATTGGTGGGTATCAGTACATTTTGGTTTTCTTCCTGACCTTTTTTTTGACATTTCAGTCAACATTTTATTTTCTCCTTATCTTTTTTTTAATTCTTTTACAATTTGTTCTTTGCCCTCCCCATGCTTGGGCATGTCTGCATGTGCATTAATACACATTAGGCTGTGCTAATGTGCAGTAGCACAAGCGCATGCTTTTTAGGTGGCGCATAATGTGCAGTAGCCTATTTTACTAGGCATAAGCATAATAGCACAGTTTTATACGAGCCACTTTAATGCGCAGTAAAATAGGCTACTGCACATTTAAGTGCATGTGTAGACATGCCCTTTGTAACCTAAACATGAAGTTATAAGAACTTAATGTCTCATTGGGAGCTCTTTGGCTTGGCTTTTCACACTTTTCTTCCAGTGTGTTGATATTTTCCTGCCATAGTGGTGATTTAGATCTGACAATTTTAGCCTTTTTTTTTTTTTTTTAAGAGTAGAAAATGTCTTTCCAGTTTAGTGCCATTGCACTTAGAATCATAGAAAATTAGGGTTGGAAGGGATCTCAGGAGGTCTCTGGTTCAACCTCCTGATCAAAGTAGGACCATCCACAACTATATCATCCCAGCCAAGGCTTTGTCTAGCCGGGTCTTAAAAACCTCCAAGGATGAAGATTTCATGACCTCTCTGAGTAACTTGTTCCCGTGCATTAACACCCTCCTTGGAAACTTTTTTTTCCTAATATCTAACCTAAACTTCCTTTGCTGCAACTTGAGACCATTGCTCCTTGTTCTGTTATCTGCCACCACTAAGGACAGTTTAGCTCTATTCTCTTTGGAACCACCCTTCAGGTAGTTGGAGGCTGCTATTAAAGCAGCCCTCAGTCTTCTCTTCTCCAGACTGAATAAGCCCAGTTCCTTCAGCCTATCCTCCTAAGTCATGTGCCCCAGCCCCCTAACCATTTTTGTTGCCCTCTGCTGGAAGGTATCTTGTAAAGGTGGCTTCTTGTACATAATTTGATTAATTCCATTAGATCTGTAGAAGCTATCACTTTGAAATGCATTGAGGAGTGGAATTTGAATTTTAGCATGCGCATTTGAGAGAGATTTTTCTTACTTGTGCATATTTGAATTACATGAAAAGGATAGAGTGCTAGTCCCTTTTCAGGTACTGTACATTATTTTCCTGAAAATACATTTGACCTGATCTTTAATTAGGAAGTCTTTTCTTTTATAGTCTTACTTGCATGCAAGGTGGTTCCTGTTTTGTGTTTCCATTATTGCAAAGTTTTAGAGATTGCTGTTGCACTATCAAAATGTAATACAGTAGGTTCACTGAACATTGCAGACTGATATGCTTTGAAAATGAATGTGTTCACTCATAGCGACAAGCATCTGCTTTTAAATTCTGGACTTCATATGAATTTTGTCTTGTTGGTTTCACTGACTAGCATGAGGCCTGTAATCATGGGCACAAGGAAGTTGTGGAACTATTACTACAGCATGGAGCTCTGGTGAACACTACTGGGTATCACAATGACTCTCCTCTTCATGATGCTGCCAAGAATGGTCATGTGAGCATTGTTGAGCTGTTGCTCTTGCATGGAGCCTCCCACAACGCGCTGTAAGTAGATTTGTAATGTGACTCTCTATTTCCAAACTAAGTTTGGAAATCCAGGCTATATAATAATTAAAAGCTTTTAGTACAGTGCATGCAATCCATTCCAAAGTTGTTTCTTTCTAGGTTAAGTTACACATACCCCCCCCATATCTGCTTTTTTCTTTTTAACATAGAAGTTATTGTCCTTGTTTAAAGTTCCTGTGCCTGAAGAAGAGTGACTGCACCGGTAAGCATAAAAGATATCGCATCTACTCGAACCTTGCCTGCAAGATTATTTTAAGATTTTTTTTGGAGTTTGGCAGAATATTGCAAGTTAGTAAAAAGACTGATCTGAGTTCATAATTGAAACTTTTTACTGATCTAAAAAAGTATTACCGCTCTTGGTCAATTTGCTGTACTTCTGCACATATAACAAAGGTATGGGATTACTGTATCTGAGTCCATATTGGACACTTTACAAGAGGCTTTCACAGTTTCATCAAGACTGTCACCAATTTAATGAAACACTGGGTAGGTCATTAGATACTGTGGTGTTGCTATTTGTGTCAGCAGCTGCAAGTATAAAATCATGCATGTTGCCAATACATTACATGCCTGTAGAATATAGCTTTTTAAAAATAATTAACTAATTTGTATAAGGCTGTACTTCCCTGGTTGTGGTATAAAGTAGGGATTAGCAAGTTTGGCTAAATTTAGTCGGTCACAGACTTTAAACTTCTTGAAGTTCTGTTATAGAATGAAAATACTTTGCATAAAAGCATCAGAAAACACTCCAGTCTGCATGAAATTTAGTAGAATTTAAAAATTAAAATCTGAAAAATGTAGAGGGTTTTTTGTCTTCTGCAACACAGTTAAAAAAAATTGCACGCTGTCCAAGAAATCAGCTTTTGGACATTTTGGGGAATAAGTTTCAAATAATCATCTTTGTTATAAAACTTTTCAATAATGGCTGAAGGAGTGAGGAAGGACGTGCAGTGAAACTTTAAAGTGGCAGTAACAGACTTTGGATTTCTTTATTAACCCAAGGTTTCTACTACACTTGCTTTCAGAAATGGAAGAAAAGAACTTTTTTCAGTTGACCATTCCATATTGGCAGACATACCCTCTTTAGTCAAAAAGCTGATTGTTTATGTCAAGTGAAGAAAACAGATTGAAGTACAGATGTCTCAAAGAGAATCCATCTCATCACCACTGTCTGTAGCCAAATGCAGAAACCATATGTATCCAAATTCAAGATGTCTTTGAATTTAACACCACTGCCAATAATTAGTCTCTAAATGGAAAATTATAAATTTGTTACAGTTTTCTATGTATAGGGTCTAACTATTGGAGAGTTGCTTTAAATTTGTCTGCAATCACACGGGGGGGCATAGGCAGCCTGACCCTTGCACCTTGCTCCACTGTCACTTGCCCCTCCATGCCTGTGCTCCTGCTGCCTGTTATCCCATCTCCTCTGCCACTTTCCCTCCATGCTGCCTGCTCCCCCATTTGTGCTGTTGTCCCATGCCCCGATGTACTGCTGCCACTTCCCCTACCCCTCACTTCTGATCAGTAGCAGCTGGGTCAGTGGATAATTGGGCAGCAGTGCCTGTGGGGGATGGGGCTGTCCCACACTGCTGCTGCTGCCCAATCTCTGAACCAATCCCCAGCCTATGCTGCTGCCCATCTTCAGCCCAGGTTTCCCCCCATCCTGGACCTGCTCTCACTGGATCACTGCTGGCTCCAAGCAGCAGCCCCAGTAGCTCCAGCTCAGGTGCAGGCCAAAATTGGGGCAAGGGTACAGCTGGAATGCTGGTACTCAAAGCCAAGATTAGGCTTGTCCCCTGCCCTTCTCCCCCACCTCTCCCTTGTTGGTGGAGGGTACCACCAACAAGAAACCATGTATTAGATTCAAGTGGTAATTCCTTGTTTCAAGGATGATCTTTACCACAGCTCACTGATGGGCCTTGACGTGATTTAAGAGTACAATCTACTATATAGTAGATCCCCGATTTACGTGAGTATTGCGTTTCAGGGGAATTTTGTGCAAGTTGAATTTGTGCAAGTCGGGATGACTTTCCCTATAGGAAATAATAGAATAGTGAGGGGTTGCATACCCCGGACATACCTTAGTCATGGCTTTTTTCCTCCTTTTCTCGGCAGAACAGCCTTTAGGAGGCGCGTCTAGCGTCTCACCTATGCATGTTGAGATGCTGCTACCACAATGGCGGCACAGCTCCACTTGATTCCACCTGCAAATCTTGTGAGGTGTTCATGTACATATGCAAATCTTGTGAGCGTGAGCATATATACGTGAATGACGCTCATCTCGAGGGGCATCTTCCAGTCCAGACCCTAATAAAAAATCGCGTAAATGCGAGACGCATAAGTTGGAATCGCATAAATCGGGGGTCTACTGTATTGATAGTGGACAAATTCTTGTTCACCTCCATCTCATCAGGCATCTGAGGAGCTAAAAATTTCCAGATAAATGAGCTCTTTTTCAGATTCTCATGGGATATTAAAGTGGTTCTTAATTAGCTGATGAAACCTTTTTGAGCTATATAATTGCCTGAACAAACACCAGTTTCTCTTGCATCTATGTAAGCAGACTAACTTGTTGATATATAAGATGTGTTCAAACAGTATTTAGACTCTTTGTACAGATATACAACATGAAGCAAAATTTGGCTTTTGAAGTTATTTTTTAAAAGGTCCTAGTACTTTAGGGTACTAATGGATTGGAATAAAAGTGAAGCCTCTGTTTGAATTGAGTGGTAAAGTATTACTTGGAATAGTTCTATATGGCATCCTTGTAATAAGTGTGTAGTATAAAATACAGTAGCATAGTTAAATAGAACACAATGTTAAGATATTTAAGTTTTTATACTGCATTGTCCAGCGTGCCCCAAGCATGTTAACACCTACTGTGTTAGATGGTCTACATATATACATAACGAGAGAGACCAAAAACCCTAGTGACCAAGGAGCTTACAGTCTGTCCTGCTTAAATTAAGAGATAAAGAAACTGTTCTTTTAAAAAGGATCAGACTTGTGCAAAATCATACAGAAGTGACGCTGGCAGTGCCCGAGAGTAATAGTAGAGCTCTACATCAACTGCTCATATGTGAAATATTTTTGACTCTTTAAAATGTTACTTGGTAGTGGCTTTAAGATGTCTGAATCTGGTATATAAATAAACTTCACATCTAATGCATCTTGCCTCAAGCAGTATCATGTTTTCCTTTGATTTACATATAAGAAGTAGTTTTAATGTAAAATGGATTGTCTGTGTACATATTTTGTTTGATGAAACACAGTTAAGAATTGTTTTCATTTTGCAGAAGACCGGTCATGGGATTCTAGTGTTCACTGGCAAGAATTTCTCTGAAAATCTGTAAGATTTAGTAGTTATAGCACTTATTTTGCTGTTCAAAGTTTTCTCTGACTAGGAAAGATATGAGCTGCAAATGGAAAATATTATATGGACCACTGGACCTATTAATTGCCCCGCTGGTCTAGTTAATTTTTTTAAGTTAATCTCCTACACATAGCTAATTTATATTTTATAGCTGTGCTTGGTCTCTTGAATTCTGTCTTTTTCCTTGCTTCACAGCAAGCTAAGTGATTTGAAAAATTAGATCTATGCATTTGTAATTTCACAGTACTTCATAAATGCTTTCACTCAAATGGGCTATCTTGCCAGTTATTCATGCACAATAAGTTCAGCATTAGTAAAAATTGTCTCACTGCCTTATTTCTTTTAGGTGTATTAGTCTTCAGAGGGTACAAGTTTGATTCAGCATAATCCCAGGCAAATAGAAATTCTTTAGGCTAGATATAGTTTTAGGCACAGCTGTGGGCAGTGTATAGCTATAAACTGATATGCACCAGGAGAATCCCAGAAGGCACTGTGTCTTTGAGTACCTTTCTCTACTTTTCTCTTGCAAATTACATCCGTCTTGATTTCTGGCCTTGTTTAGTTGCACAAACTGGTGTTGCATTGGGTAGAAGATCAGGTCACGGGGGTGATAAAGCAGACTTTGTGTGTGCCCTCAGATCCAAAGTCCACATAGCCAATTCCAGGTTTTAAAAAGAGGGTTTTTATTATTTATTCTATGGACAAAATATGAGTGGTAGATGAATTTCGCAGAAGTGATTTAGGTGTTTCTAGTGGTAGAGGTAAATGATAAAAATGTAATATTAGGCATCGATTTTGATTAATTCCAATGAGTGTTTGGGGGTTATTATTAATTGAGGAAAAAATAGGTTACAGTGGACTACTATGGCTTGTATATTACAATGAAATATTTAGGGCGTGCACTATTTATTTTGGTTAAATGCAGTATTTGGTGGCCCAAATCGGAGACTTAACTCCAAAACTGTAACTTCACAGTTCTTAGAAGTTTTCCTTCATTATGTTGACATTGCTCCTTACTCCAACATTTTGTCTTTTCCTCTAATAATTTATTTCCAAACTTGTAGACTTAATTGTCGCACTGCAGTTTACTCTGGAACATGTGACAAACGGGCACTGTCAGTGCTTGAGACTGAACACTACTTCTGCCACCAAACTTTTCCCAAGTACATTTCTTTACCTTGAAAGTCCCAGCTGTTAGTCAGGTATGTAGCTCTCATCTTCAAGAGCAAGTACCCTACAGATTTGTCAACAAGATTACTTTTGGCTAGAAGCTGTTCATATATTCTGCTTGCAAGAGTTAAGTACATAAACAAAACCTCATTGCTCTTAAAAGGGCTCTTTGATCTTTTGCTCCTAAATCTAACACTGAGGATTGCTTGAAAGCTTATCCTGAGCATCTTGTCATGTATTACACATTCCATTGAGTCAAAACATTAGGCTTGAGATGCCTTCATGTGGTTCTGCTTTCTACTACCCCATCCTTCTGAGATTAGGTATGGACTCTTCCTAGATTTAGGTGTTTTTGCTGTTAGTCAGTCGTACCTTGATGCTTATGATGCTTATTTGAAATTCTGTCTCAAAGGACATGTTTGGCTTTTGAATC